ACTTTTGTTCTAGCTACAACTTTGGAGCACACAAGTTCTGAAAAGGAAGCAGAAGAGGAGAAGGGGAGTTACCCAAGGGAATGTAAGCTTGAGATTTGTTTTCTTTTTTAAAAAGAAGATCTCATGTATCCCAGGCTACCTGGAGCTCACTGGGCAGCCAAAAATAACCCCTTGCTCCCACTTCCTGGGTGCTGGTTTACTTATAAATCTGTGAAAGTCACATTCTACATGCCTTGTTGGATGACATTGAAACTCTTTAGATGTTTTATGGGTTTATGTTTGTCTCTTTTTTTTTTTTTTTTTTTTTTGAGACAGGGTTTCTCTGTGTAGCTTTGCGCCTTTCCTGGAACTCGCTTTGGAGACCAGGCTGGCCTCGAACTCACAGCGATCCGCCTGGCTCTGCCTCCTGAGTGCTGGGATTAAAGGCGTGCGCCACCACCGCCCGGCTATGTTTGTCTCTTAATCAACATCTTTTGAGAAATTTCAACCCTTGTCAGACAAACTGTTAGGTCTTAGCCATTTGTCCTGAGTTGGAGACCTAACACTAACTATGTAAATAATAATAATAAGCAATTTATTGATATCCAATTGCAAAGACTAAGCTCTGAGTCACTAGATTAGGTCCTGAGTAGACTGTATAACACCTGAGTAAATAATGAAATAATGAGCACATGGGGAGAAGTAGGTGATTTGTGTGGATTTACATAAAGACTGAGGCTTCAGTGGGAGGGGGCCAGGTCAGCAAAGGCACTTGCCACCAAGCCTGATTCTGCAAGTTAAAGGAGAAAGCATTGACTCGAAAAAGTTGTCCTGTGGGTTTTTTTTCACATATGTGCTGTCATGCAAGTGTGTGTGTACACACACCCACACGTACACACACAAACAACAACAATAGCAATAATAATGACAAAATGATTAGTTAAAATTTAAGTAGCTTTCCTAACATGAGGCAGTCCACCCCTCTGCTGCCCTCTGTGTTAGGGGTTAGGAAGCAGCCTGTCTCTGGGTGGTTGCAGTTCCCTAGACACCAGGTTTGGCAAATGGAGTACTTGCTGTATTTCAAGCCATCTTCCCATCTTGGCCTGGTGGCTTTGTGCAGGTTATAATCTACACAGCAGCATTTAAACTAAGAATATCAGAATTTTCTCTGAGGCTTTCTAATTTTACATACTTTGACTGTTCTCTTTCCATGGGGAATTCTGTTGCTTTTATAATCAGTAAACAATATAATCAGCAGTAAACAATCACAGCCCCCAGGAAAGAATAGCCATAGATCAGCAGTTTCCAAAGTACTTGTAAACATAAAGTAATATTCAATATTCATGTCTTGTTGGTATGATTTTTGGTAATAATCAGTTTCAAGATGAGCTGCTATATTATGCAATTTATGGTGATCATAAAGAGCAGAGTGATGATTGAAAAGGGAGCAAAAAAGAGTATAGGGAAAATGGGAGCAGCGTATTATTCATGCTTCAATCATCCTGACTCCTCATGCAGAACTGTTCTGCCTACCTTACTCATCAGGGGTGTATTCACTACATGTTTTATTCTAGGCACCATGATAGATGTTAGGGCTGCATTAATCTATGCCTAGTACACAGTCTCAGTTTCAAAAACTCACTAACGAAGCAGCAAGTACAGCTTCATTACAATATAAAGAAAACCTTTATAGTCAATGTCTCATAGGTAAAGACAGTTGCTGCCAACTCTGATGTCATGAGTTTGATCCCTGTGATGAACCACATGGTGCAAGAAGAGAACTGACTCCCACAAGTTGTCCTCTAGCATCTATGTGTGTGCTCCCACACACAATAAATAAACAGACAAATACGTATTTTCTTTAAAAAAAAATGAACAAACTGTTATAAGCTTGCAGGAGTACTTGTGAATAATTTTCCTGCATGTGCAAGGGGCATCAATATCTAACGTTGGTGGAGAAAAGTGGAAGAAGGAAGTGAAAGGAAGTGTACAGATCTGTGAGCATTCAGAGCTCCATTTATTCAATACAAGGCTCCCGTAGAGAATATGGTCTATGAAGGGTCAGCCTGAGGAAGTAGGATGGAGTCAGAGGCAAAGTGCTTCATGAGACTAAAGTCTAGGAAACTCTGTTGCCATCTGTCCAGAAAATACAGGCTGATTTTAGTACCATCGCAAGGTCATGTAGCAGCATGTCTCTCAGGAAAAGGATTATAGATGTTGACGGCTGGGATGGATCTTTAGGGTGTTATTGTTCTATTTAGCCCCAAATTCAAACATTAGCTCTGCTGCTCCATGTGGTATATGGAGGAAATATTTCCATCCCATATTCCTGAAAGTTTGATGTCTCTCTGTACAATAGAAGCAATAAACCCCCACAGGATTAAGGCAGTAGCTATGAGCTGGTATGCTCCTTGTACATATGGAAAATTCTGTAAATACTGGCACTTTCCCCTGTTCCCTTCATTTCACTCCACCTCCTTCAGCAAGAGCATACTTGCCTAAGAATGTGGGTAACAGAACCTGTTTTTGAGGGCTTCCAAGTAGGGATTTCACAACTTAGTATATGGGTTCCATTAGAAAAGCATTGAGTATTTTAAGATTAAATAAACTCCTTTGTTGTACTTTCTCAATAATACAAAGAAAAGAGATTTGCAAATCAGCATGCTTACTCTTCTGCAGATCTCTGTGGCTCCTCAGCATCTGTCCCCAGAGCACAGACTTCTGATCATCCCTTGGGTTCAAAAGTAACATGGCACTCAGAAGAGTAGATTATCAACAGCTTCAAATTCTGCTGGGTTACATTCTTACCGATGTGTGCTACAGATTTTGAATTATATTCTATTCTTCTGTACTCTGAAAACTGACCCACCAATATGCTTTCCCATTCTAATCTGCTCAGAAACAGCAGACTGATGATTCAATCAGTATAGATCATCATAAGATCCATAAATCACTCCCTTAACCACTGAATAATTCTTTCCCTGGTTAAGAGAACTAAACTTTCAGCCACTCAGACTCATATGCACATATGCCATATTTTCACAAAATGTAAAAAATTTAAAGCATCTTTGAAACAATGTAGCCCATTGTTGTCCTAAGGTTTTGTGAGAAGTGTGCACAGTATAATGGACCTATAGCCCAGAAGGATTCTAGCATTCGATCTATGGACCTTTTGGTGAAGTCAATCTACAAACTTGATATTGCACACTTCTAATTATCATATTCATCATATATGCACCTTCTCAGAAGTAAGCTTATGAAAAGTTCCATGGGGTTGGAGATCTAGGATTCAATATATTCACTTTTATCATCGGAGCCCACTCCATATTGGTTGTTAGAATGAAGATAGATAGATAGATAGATAGAGAGAGAGAGATAGAGAGATAGAGAGATAAAGAGAGAGAGAGAGAGAGAGAGAGAGAGAGAGAGAGAGAGAGAGAGAGAGAGAGAGAGAGATACCTGAATTGCTGTATTAAAGAAAAGGTAGATAGTGAGTTCCTATCTCTGGTGGAACATATAATAAAAAGATGGTTAACAAGGACTGTAAAGTGAGGCCTGCCTGGAAAAATGGCTCTGTAGTTAAGAGTAAAATGTTGCTTTGGTAGAACTCAGTTCCTAGTGCCCATATCCAGCAGCTTACAATTCCCTATAAGCCCAACTCCAGGAGAGCTGATGCCCACTTGTGCCTTTGCAGCCACTCAGACTCATATGCACATATCCATACATGTAATAAATACTAAGACAAATCCTCTTTTTAAAGTACTGTATAAGCCGGGTTGTGGTGGCACATGCCTCTAATCTCAGCACTCAGAAGGCAGAGGCAGGTGGATCTCTGTGAGTTTGAGACCAGTCTGGACTACAGAGTGAGTTCTAGGACAGCCAAAGAAACCCTGTCTTGAAAAACAGCAACAACAAAAAATTTAAGTACTGTGTAGTTAGTATATGCCAATCAGTATCTTAATTAATTCATCCAAGCTTCATAATAACTTATGAATTGAGTGGCAACTATCACTACCATTTAGGGAAGAAAATACAAAATCGATGTAAGGCAACAATGTGTAAGGTTCACAGTTGCACAGGCTGTAAATGGCAAAACCAGAACTGAAGTGTAGGAAGGTTGGCTTTTAGCAACCTGTACTATGCAACAGCCACTGCTCCAGAGTGTTTGTATCCCACCCATATAATTCAAGGTACAACTTTGGCTATATTTCCTCAGTTTCAATCACTGCAACCTCAGTGTCATAATAGCAAGAAGCTAATCATCTTCATCTCATAAAATTTTCTCTCCCCCCCAAAAAAAGCTATAAAAATACTTGGGAGGAAAAAGTCTTTTACAATATAGGAACTCCACTGCTTCCCACAGTGATGTGGAATTGCTACTTAGCAACATTATTTCTATGGAGTGATGAGAGTCCTTCAATGCTAAATACAGCTGAGAGTATACTACTTTAGGCAGCCCAGGACTCGAGGATTATGTTCCCCCAATCATTTGTGTCTGTATTTTAAGATGTTGCTATCAAATTTAATCCACTGTTGTTTGGAATAAATAATCGAAGAGGCCTCATTCTTCTGAACCTCAGTCAAGAGCTGAAAGGAAGCCCTCAATAGAAAAATGTAATTTTTGTAGACAGTCTTGTTTACAGCATGCCCTAGACAGTTTAATAAACTTTCACATGAAACCTGATACTGGACTTCAAAGACTCACCATGGTAATTAACTCAAGCAACTCTTCCTTCCCATGCTTAAGAAAAGAAGCAGTGATGTAATCAGTGTTCTAGGAATTGCCTGTCCCTAGACAAACAGTGCCTGTCTGGGTGGGTCACCAGCCTCATCCTCTAATAGAAGGGTCGCAAAGATGAAACTGATGAATCACCTTGAAGCATCAACATGGGATTAGAAGCAAGTGCTCTGTGGTAGGGTCTATGCTGTTGCCAGTTTGGGCCCAGGATGGGCAAGGGAGGAGCAGATCTGTGGATAAACACATCTCTTGCAAGTTTCTAACACTTATCTCGGTTTTACAGGATGCCTTCCGGGCCATGCACCTAGATCTTAGCATTGTGCAGCTGTACCTTAAGCCACTGCTCATTGGAGAACTTTCTCCAGAAGAACCTAGCCAGGAGAAAAACAAAAATGTAAGTACAGCTTCAGGATCCAATGGCATATAAAGACTGGGGATAAGGTATATTTTGAGGTCAAGTTACTGTTTTCTGTGAGAATATAAAGCCATAGTAAGGTACAATAGCTCCTTATTATCTTAAGGGTGTGCATCCTAAGACTTGCCCTCAAGTGGAGGCCTGAAATAATGGGCAATATGAAGCTAGGAGAGTAGATATGACTACTAGGATGTCCACTAAGTAACTGGACAGAAGGTAGTGTGTACACTGATAGACACAATGGGTGAAGGGGTAATTCAGGTTAAAGACAGTGTGGAGCAGAGTGGCAGGATATCTTATCATTATGCTCAGAGCAATGCACAACTTGCAAACTGTTATTTTCTCTTTACTATATTTTGACTAAGAATGACTAAAAGTAAGTGAAATCACAGGAAAGAAAGCAAGCACTATTTTTTTCTTTTATTGAAGTTAGAGATTCTTTTCTTATATAAAATATCCTGGTTATAGTTTCCCTCTTCCTCTACTCCTCCTAGTTTCTCTCCCACTTACCTTCCCATCAGGATCCACTCCCTTCTCTGTCTCTCATTGGAAACAAACAGGCTTCTCAGAGATAATAATAAAATATAACAAATAAAATATAATGAGATAAACATAAAAACCATCACATGAATTTGTAGAAGACAAACTAACAGAAGGAAAAGAGCCCAAGAGAAGGCACATAAATCAGAGACCTACTAATTCACACACTTGGAAGCTCCAGAAAAAGCACTAAACTAGAACACATAATGTATATGCAGAGTACCTGGTTCAGATCTGTGCAGGATTTGTGCATGCTGCTTTAGTCTCTGTGCATTTATGTGAACTTTGCTCATATTGATTTAGAGGGCCTTGTTTTCTTGGTGTCCTCCATTTCTTCCGGCTCTTACACACTTTCTTCTTCCTCTTCCTTGATGGAGATATCCCATTTAGGGCTGAGAATTCCAAGATCTCTCTCAGTCTCTGCATAATATCTGTGGGTCTCTGTGTTCCCTTCTGAAGGTGGAAGCTTTGCTGATGATGGCTGAATCAGAGTATAGCAGATTATCATTTGGAATTATTTTAATATTATGTTTGTGGTTTTATTTTTGTTTTAGATCAGTATTTGGTTTTACTCTATGTCCCTGAGGTACCTAGTCTCTGGTTCTTGGTCACCCAAACAGTGTCAAGTATGGGTTTCATCTCATGGAGTGAGTCAAAACAGACATTGGTTGGGTACTTCCCACAAGGTTTATGATATCATTTCTTAGCATATCTTATAGGCAGAACACTGTAGATCAAAGGGTTTGTGGTTGGCTTGGTGTTTTCATTTCTCTTTTGGTAACATGCAGAGTACCTTCCTGTACCTAAAGATACAAGAATGTAGACGTGAAGGTTAAATTAGACACCAGCTCAATTTCTCCATGTTCAGTGAGTTAGGTAAGTGCTATCTTCAACAATGGACCCTTGTTGTCAGTTTGTAGAGAACAATCTATTGGCTTGGCAAGAGCCTGAGTTATTTGAGGACTTCCATTGGACCCTGTTGGCCAAAAACTCAATAGATGTATGAGGATCAGATCCTGGTGCTGGAAACTTCATTTGGTGACAAGCGATGGTCAGTTGGGACTCTGTCTCCCCTTATTATTTGACAATTTCATTTAGATCACCTTCACATATGGTTATCTTTTAGGAAGTTTCAATTGTATTAGTTTTCCATACTATCCATCAAATGTCCCTTAATTCTAGCTGTCTCTCGCCATATTCCCTCCCTCAATTCCCTTTCCCCTCCTCTCTTGATCCTCCCATTCCAGTCCCTCATCTATTCACCCATGATTATCTATTCTATTTCCCTTTTCTAACACCATCTATATGTTCCCTCTAGTTTCTTATTCTATATCTACTCTCTGTAGTTTTATGGATTGTAGCTTGGTTATCCTTCACTAATATCCACATATAAGTGAATACTACCATACTTATCTTTCTGGGTCCAGGTTAACTCACTCAAGATGATTTTTTTCTAGTTCTATCCATTTGCCTGCAAATTTCATAATGTTTTTTTAATAGTTGAGTAATACACCATTAAATGTACCACATTTTCTTTATCCATTCTTATGTTGAGAGACATCTAGGATATTTCCAATTTTTTTTTTTTTTTTTGGTTTTTCAAGACAGGGTTTCTCTGTGTAGCTTTGCGCCTTTCCTGGAACTCACTTGGTAGCCCAGGCTGGCCTCGAACTTGCAGAGATCCGCCTGGCTCTGCCTCCCGAGTGCTGGGATTAAAGGCGTGCGCCACCACTGCCCGGCGATGTTTCCAATTTTTGGCTATTATGAATAGAAAGCATCAATAAACATGGTTGAGCAAGTGTCTCTATGGTAGAATGAAGCATCCTTTGAGTATATGCCACCAAGAGTGATATAACTGGATCTTGAGGCAGATGACCCTCATCTTCCTGAAGAACCCCCACACTGATTTCCATAGTAGCTGTACAAGTTTGCACTCCCACCAGCAATGGAGGAGTGAGTGTTCCCCTTACTCCACATCCTCCAGCATGAGCTGTCACTTGTTTTATTGATCTCTAAATATGTAGATTCTGCATATTTCAAATATCATAGTTTTCCTTGGAAGATTTTTCTTTACTTTTATATCGATATATAAAATGAAATATGATCATATTTTATTCTCAGAACAAAGCAATGGAATTTATAGCACTTCATCCATATAAGTTCTGTATCTCTAAGCATTTAATTCATGCCAAGCAACTCAGACATGGTTTTATTTCTGTGGCTGCTTTTAATTATGTGTTTGAAGCCTAACTAAGCCGAACTACATGGGAACAGAGACTGTCTCATTTATTCTTGTGTCCTCCAACCTTCTACACAGGATCAGACATGCAGCAAGACCTCTACAATTAGCTGTTGAATGAAAGATGTAAATAAATCTTAACCATACCCCTTTTTATATGTAGGGAAATTATCATTCATGAAGAATAACTTGCTTTCTGAACACAGCTACTTTATCAAAGAACTGGGCCTCAAAATCATTCCTCTCTAGTCCCACAGGTTCTTAACTGTTCCTCAAGATAAGCATTACTCTTTCTTTACTGGTTTGACTGTTTTAAATACTGTCGTCTAATGGTTCTACATGACTAAAACTTTGCTGGGGTGATTTTACATAAAACATAAAGGGATTTTAATTAATAACAAAAGTTCACTGGTTTGAAATTTATTTTTGTAGAAACTTAACTGTGTCTGATATGTAACCAGAACTCATCTGTACGGAGCAATGACCCATATAGTGCTCTGAAGTAGACAGAGTAAAAGCTTTATTCACTGTTTTTTAAAAAGAGAATATGGACTCAAGAGACAAGACCACTTTAAGGGAATGAAGTTTTTTTGCTCATATTTGTAATACTTGGGTTCACTTTGTACACATGCATCCCACACAGCTATGCACCAAATGGCATAGCTCTGTCTGGAAGACTGGATTCTGAGGGTGGACAACATGAGTCTCACCTTAACCCTTCTCATCTCAAACTCATTTAGGCCCGTTCTCAAACTTCTCTGAGCCAACTGTTTTTCTGTGTAAGATAGTGTTTAAAACATAGTAAATGCTCTACAATAAAGATGTTATCATTATCATGAACACAGTGGTGGTACTAGAGCTTACAAACCTCCATACATGTCCCCACCACTTGTAGCAGGTGACCCTGGATTTAAAAGTAATAGCAAAGGTTGTTATTCCTAAAGAGTTTCCAAAAGGCAAAGCAAATTCAACCAACTTCTGAGAGCCAAGGGATGATCGTTATTTAAACTATTGTTCTTCTCTGAGAATTAAGGTGGACTGAATTTTCTGTTTGACAACTGTGTGACTACTGAGCAACTACTATAGAAAACTGAGTGTCAGGAGGTGTGGGCTTAAGTCCAGCATCTGGGACTGGCTTCTTAATTATTTTGAGGCAGTTGCTCTGCTGAATTTCAGTGACCTTCTACTCTGTATAATTGTACTGGAAAAGAAAAGGCTAAGAGAAACCCTAGAGACAAATTAATATCAGAAGCTCATTAAAACTGCCTATGGTCACCATAACTCCAAATCTGATGATAGTTGGACATTGCCTTATGAGAATTTTGGGCTGACAATAGGTCCTTTAAAAGTTCCACCGATCACAAGTGTGCCCATAAATATAAAAGCATGTGATATCCACAAACAGTTAGGGGATATATTTAAACAAATATGGCCTTAAAAAGCATCATAAGCTACTTCCATAATTTCACAGCTTGGTGATTGTGTAATCCTGGAACTAGGTTCTGTGATACTTCTTATTCATCTATCGATCTCCCTGAAGAAGAGGCCCTTCATATCTAGATGAAAAATTCTCACCAGTAAAATGGATACATAGTGTATGTCTCTGAAAACAACACACAATTGGTACCCTTTAGCCAAGGTTCACTTTCTATAGTTTTGGTGATCTATCATCAACCAAAGTCCCAAAACATTCCATAGAAAATTCTAGAAAAAGTCAATGCATTCGTTCTCAGTTATTCTGAGTGAAATGATGAAATGTTTACCATCCCCCATTATTCTTTCTAGGATATGAATCATCCGTTTATCCAGTGTATTCAAAGTGTATAATTAGCTACCAATTTATCTTTTTAGTCATCCTGGTTATGAGATGGCACAATCTTTGGTCTCAGACATACACTGATAATTTTGGTGTGTTTTCTCTGTGAGTAAAGGAATCTACTGTGTAGTCTTTTACACACCCCATAATTCTTCAAAAACTCCTTCTTCCATCTTCCTCCAAATTCCCTCTCCCCGATTCTTCCCCACATTCCCTATCTCCCTCTTTCTCTTCTATAAGGGAGAAGGAATTTTTAATGCGAGGCTTCTGGACATGACAGCACCTTTCCCTAAGCTGATTTCTAAGCTTCAGTAGGAGATGGCCATGCAAGTCTGAACATTTGAGTATAAAAGGAAACTCAGGCCAACTCTGAACCTTCTTAAGAGGAATTAGGGACAGTATCCCACTCACAAAATTCCACATCCTAAACCCCAAACTTATCAGAAGTACAGATCTATTTATTGGAAAGTTGTCACTGAGAATAAAGACTTATGTGTATAAAAGGTTAGGCAAACATCATTGCTCCTAATTTTAACTCTTTGATTCAAAGTGAATTTCATTGAATTTTCCATAAGGAAGTGTAAATGTCAACATGTTTTTCCTCTGCCTCTGACTATACAACCTAATAATAAAGCTAAGACTTAGGGCACCAGTTACTCACGAAGAGGTAGATAATATAGTTTCAAATGTCTTCAATGGCCCACAAGATGTCTCAGCAGGTAAGGAGTTTGCTTCACAAACCTGACAACCTCAGCTTGATTCCCAGAACCAGTATAAAGGTGTAAGAAAAGAGTCAGCTCCACAATGCCTTTCCTCTGACCTCCACATGCATATGACATATGTGTCACACCCCGACACACACAAAATAATAATAAATATTTTTATTAAAAAACTTATTCATTTTACATACCAACCACAGATCCCCCTCCCATCCCTCCTCCTGCTTGCCCCAGCCTCCCCTCCCCAACCCATCCCTCATCCCCTCCTCCAAAAGGGTAAGGACTCCCATGGGGAGTCAGCAAAGTCTGGTACATTCAATTGAGACAGGACCAAACCCCTCCCCGCTGCATCAAGGCTGAGCAAGGCATTCTACCATAGGTAATGGGCTCCAGAAAGCCGGCTTATGCACCAGGGATGGATCCTGACCCCACTGCCATGGGTCCCTCAAACAGACCAAGCTACACAACTGTGTCCCACATGCTGAGGACCTAGTCCAGTCTCATGCAGGCTCCATAGCTGTCGTTCTAAAGCTTATGAGTTCCTACAATCTTGGTTCAGTTGTCTCTGTAGATTTCCCCATCATGATCTTGACTCCCCTTGCTCATATAATCCCTCTTCCCTCTCTTCGACTGGACTCCCAGAGCTCAGCCTTTAGCAGAAATATCACTTAGGTTAATGTGTATAAATGTTTGGAAATCAGACCAGTTGAGAGAGTGGCTGGAGCAAGAGAAAAGTAGCAGGATTTTAGAGATGTATGAAAGGAGTATGGGAATGGAAAAGAGAGTTGTCAAAGTAATTCCAGCACTAGAAGGCTCATTTCAAAATTCATTGGTGTAACTTAAAAATGCATGCATAATACCCGTGTTCCCAGACCACGTTAACCAGCAAACACACACTGATGCTAACAGTCTTGTTCCCGGGGGATCTACTGAGAACATCTTTGAATGTTTATCCCTCAAGCTAATCTACCTAGAACACATTATTCTTTGTTTACCTTCATCTGTAAGTGATTCACTTGTATGCAGTAAATAATTGATGACTGAAAAAGCACTTGCACACTATGGTAGTAACTATGGTAGTACATCCTCATGAACAACAAGTTCTCCCAAACCTAAATAGAGTTCAACTCAGCACTTGAAATGTTGGTTTCAAAAGTGACTGTTGGGCTTTACACATATTACAACTGCCCCACTTTGCCTCCCCTCAGCCCAGAAAACAATTGCTTTTACCTGCCCTCCCTAACTGGGGAAAGATTTGTACATCGCAACTCATTCTTTCTTGCCCATAAGAAAAAATATATATATTATCACCATTTTTCAAGTATTTCATTTGTTTTAAGTTTCATTGTCATTGGTTTTAAATTCTAAACAAATATATTCATATTAATAAAGTAATTCATTACTAACTTGGTAACAGCTTGCATTCATTTATCTTCATCCTTCATATGAAGGAACTAATTCCAACCTTGAATATTCATTTCACAGCCACAGTTGGTGGAAGATTTCCGTGAATTGCGCAAGACATTAGAGACCATGCATATGTTCAGTGCCAACCTGGGGTTCTTCTTTCTCCACCTTGTACAGATCTTGGTTTTGGAAGTCTTAGCATGGCTAATACTACATCACTTTGGCACTGGCTGGACTGTTACGATACTTGTTTCTTTTCTTCTTACAGTTTCTCAGGTAAGCAGGTGTCATCAGCTTAGGCAGCAGCCTCAGAGTGAGCCTTGGGTTTTTTCATCCTTCTGTTTTTTATTTGAAAACTTCATACATGCATTCAATATATTTTTATCATATTCATGTCTCACTATCCCCTCCTAACCCACTCAAGACACTACCTCGCCGGGCAGTAGTGGCGCACGCCTTTAATCCCAGCACTAGGGAGGCAGGGGCAGGTGGATCTTTGTGAGTTTGAGGCCAGTCTGGTCTACAGAGTGAGATCCAGGAAAGGCACAAAACTACACAGAGAAAAGACACCACCTCATTGTATCTCCCTGCTAACATCGTGTCCTCCTTTTTAAATGATATTTTCAGCCCACTGGGTCCAATTAGCACTTTCCATATGCACAAGGATGTGGGATCATACACTGGGACACTTGGAACCTACTGGTGGCCACATCCACAAATTAAAGTGACTCTCCCTTTCCTAGAATCCAGTAGCTCCTCAACTAGGGTGGTGCCTCAGGAACTGCCTACTAACTTGTTTAATCTTGTGCAGCTGCTATGTGTCACGTGTGTAACAGACATGTCATATTCAGAGGACAGCAGTTTATAGCTCTCTTCTTCATCTTCCGTTTCCTACATTTTTTCTCTCTCCTCTTCAGCACTGTTCTCTGATCCTCTGTAGAAGGGCTGGTACACATCTTAGCACACTACTCATGAGTTTTAACATCTTTCCAAAGTATTGGACTCCAGTTCTCTCATCTATAAGATGAGGATAACAATGGATATGGAATTATTTTAAAGAAGACTAAGGATGTTAATCTGTAAACAAGGTAGCACAGTATCTAGCATATAGTAATGGTTAAATGAATGGCAGCTGATATTGTTCACCCAGTTTTATCCCAATTATAATAACTAAATTTCTATCCTCGGCCATATAGCATCCAACTTTATCTTTCATTGATTAATCCACCATCAATTACCAGTCCATTCATTCTTCAAGGGGGAAAACTGCATCTTAATATATGAGAGTAAAAAAACACATGCACTCCAGTATAAATGACATCAGCAAATGGAACTTCGACCATTTGATAAATTTTTGTTAATTTCTATATGCATGTTCAAATGTGACCTCATATAAACACAGGCTGTGTACAGATATGAAAGAAAATTCACATGTTCCCTGTCCTGGATAAAGAAGTCCTCCAGGACTTAGAGAACCACTCAGAGGAACATTGCATGGTAAAAAGGGGAAAGCAAGTGCTACTGGAACAGGAAGGGGCCATTCATTCTTAGTGGAATTACTCAGGAATGTTTTCCAAAGAGTGATGTTTCCAGATCCCAGAATTTTTACATCAGTTTATTTCTTGAAAAGTCAAATTGCTTTATTCTTTAGGAAGTCCATTTTTAGAAACAAATATTCATTTGACACTTAGCATAAACTTGACCCTTTAACATAAACTTTGATCCTCGCACAACACCCCCAAGGGTTTGTCATTATACCCAGGGAGAATCAGACAGATCACTGAGGGTCAGAGCTACTCTACTGTACAACTTGCCCAGAGTTGTTCATCTCTTAAGTATTGAAGATTCCAAACTTATTAGGCACTAAGGTCCATACATGAACTTCATACTCCACCACAGAAGACACCAAAGAGTGACAAAAAAGTGTTCAAGGCAGGGAAGACCACTAGTGTATTTAGATGGAGGTTATAGAGTTGGTGATGTGTGTAGGAAATTGAAATTAAACTTGGATGGAGATCAGATAAGACCTCCCACTATCCTCTGTCAGGCTTACAAGTCTTGTAGACTTTATGACTTCTTCTTGATTTTGTAACTTCTCTAACTTTCTTTTCTTTCTTAGGCTCAAAGTTCATTTTTACAACATGACATAGGACACCTTTCCATGTTTAAGACATCCAAGTGGAACCACCTGATGCACAAATTTGTAATGTGTCACCTCAAGGTACAGGATATGAGGAAGAGTGATGGAGATTGTGAATGAAACTCCCTAAGGCAGGGGTTACTCTGCCTTGAATGTGTACTCAAAGCAGCAAAAAGTGTTCTGACATTCACAAATGAGTAAAAATGTCTTTATAAGATAGGCTTTATATATAATAATATTTAATACAGCATTGCAAAATATTCAGCAAAATCAAATTTTAAATTTTAAGAAAAAAGTGTTCAGTGTTTATTTTTTATGATTCTGATAAACTATTTGGCTCAATTCACATTGTCCTAAGGAATGTTCACAGAAAAATGTTTGTGTCCTTAAAATCGAGATATGTACTAGAAAATCATGAATGGAGATCTTAGAAGGGATGTGAAGATTTTCCTTGGAGAATTCAGCAGACCTAATTAATCCAGAAAGGTTGAGGCTGAGTACATAAAGGGAAAATACAATATCAGAGAACATATAAAAACTAAAATAAAGAATAGTTGAGGAAGGCTAGGTGATTCTATTGGAGAGGATTACAAAACAGACTTCTGCTAGAGTTGACAATAAAAACTGACATTATTCTCTGAGAATGGAATGAGTTATCTTATTCAGCAACTAGTGAGTTTCCATAGCTCTTCAGTAAGCTTCTGTGTATGAATTAGTGAAAGAACAAATGAATGGAGATGATAGCAGTGTGAAGGGCTTTTGTCTCTGACAATGCTCAGTATGCCATCCCAAGACCATCATGTTTATCTCTGGCCTTTTGTAACATTAGGAGATAAGCTAAATCTCTACTTTTCTCTGACTGTCTTCATTTTTTACCATGTACGCTGGCTCTGAAGGTGAGAAAATGCCCCTCCACCGAAACATCTCAAACAAATCCTACCATTCTAGCTAGAACCCCATAGGAAAAGTCCTCAGACATTGACTCATGTTGCTTTTTCTTCCTTAGCACAGTCTCTTTGTATTACTTCTCAAACATAACCACTTGGTTTCCCAGCTTAGAAGTAGGCAACTAATGAATAAAGTGAAGAGAATGCTGGAGCCAAAATACTGGAGAGCAGTGAGCCGGCAGCCATGGACAACAAATGATAAGAAATGATGGGCAGGAACTTGAAGGAGATGAAAGCTGCCCCGTGCCAAGGGCAGAACTATTTCCCTTGAGGCCATTGTCTCATGTAAGACTCACAAGATGAATATTACGGCACCCCTATTTTTCAGATAAAATGAGTCTTCAAAGGGCTTGACTAAGCCAATGTCTTCAAACTGGTTAAGTAGAGAAATTAATACCACAGTATTAAATAATGCAGGCCAGAGTGGAGCTTCTCAATTTGAACTATAATTTGGAGGCAACTGAGGATCTTGGTAAAAGTAGGTATGTCTAGACTACTAAAGATGATCTGATTTATTTTCAGTGCAATCTGGGTGTCAAGCATGGGTGAAGCTCTTTGGAAGCTTTTTGGATAATTTTAGCCTAGAGCCAGCACTAAGAACTACTATTCTAACAACAAATCCTCTTGCATTGAAACTCAGTCTCTTATGAACTGGGTCACTTTGAACAAGTTATTTAATGTTTTTGCACTCCAGTTTTTTTCACTGAAAAGAAAATGAAGATAGATGGATAAAAGCTTCAACCTGTGGGATTATTGTCAGTTATATGTGATATTTGTGTATCATGTGTAACAGTGTCTAGAAACAGTCATGTCAGCTACTGCTAATATGAGGAACAATACTTTCACAACCAAAATGAGGATCTAGAATCAATAAGAAAAATGTTTGGTCATGATAGTACTAAGAAGCAGACTGTAAGTTAGACAGCCATTGACTTACAGAATTCATCTGTTTTTAGTCTCTCTCATTCAGCACATGGAGCCATGACTAGACTAGGCAACAGAATTGGACTTGTGTTCCTATCAGAGACATGTCTTTTCCTCAAAAAGTGATTGTCACATTATATGACAAGATTCATTTAATCAGAAAATTCCTAGAGGCACGTTCTTCTGCACCTTTATCCACCATTGTTAAGTAGATAAGTTTTCTGAATTCACTCTAAAATCTCACAAAACAAAAAATAGCTTTTTTCCCTGAAACTATGAGATTCAGGTAGCAAAGCTGTATGTGTCACCTCCCCTATGCTGAAGACACAGAGGAATTATGAAAGGCACTTGCCCTCAAGATGATTGGCAGTTGGTTTGGTACCAATTATGTGAAATTTTCCAGTGAGTTCCACCCTTGCAGCCTCTTTTTAAAGTCAATGTTTTCCCACTAATCCAAATTTACACATAGGTATTTCTATGCTATGTCTCTAAAAAGCAGTTTTCAGGATTTGAAATGTATATCTCTTTGATGACTCCTTACTTGAATGAGAAAATGGGAAATGGCTCTAAAAGCAAAGCTGGCATACTTTGCCTTTTAGCAGGCAAAGCCAGTGATTCATGAACAAAATAAGCATAGGCTTCAACATGTACAGAAGAGAAAATTACTTGTGGGCGCTGAAGTGGGTGGGAAGGAGATGACAAAGAAAATTATAAGCAGCAATATTCCCGCCTCTTACAATCATTACAATTCTAAATTTCAACACTAGGCTTCACATCATTTCCCCCCTATCATTCAGAAAAGCATGGGTAGCATTGTGGATATTATTCAGCATCTCTCCAGTATGTGTATTTGTGTGTGTGTGTATGTGTGTGTGTGTGTGTGTGTGTTCGTTCTAGTGTTTACAGTATACAGACATTCAAATATCCTTTCTGAAAATGAACCGTGAAAAGTGAAATGTCTACATACATTTTGCATTCCTGTGTATTACAGATCCAGCATTCTTACTTTAAAAATCTAAATATGAAATGTTTCAAAATCTAAATACTTTTAACACCAAAATGATGCCAGGAACGGAAAATTCCATACCCTGGAACTTTGTTTCATTCCAAAAAATTCTTTAAAATACTAAATAAATTTATCTCCAGGAGCAGGCATATAGGAAACAAATGAGTTTTATATTTATATTTAATCCTCATCCCCATAGCTCACTGTGTGTGTACAAATATCCCAATGGGTCTTTTTTTTAATGAAATTAAAGATATTACTGACCCTGAGTTAGACATCATGTAACATTTTTTCCAAGATCTCCCTATATGAGCATTTTACAAATAGTAAGAATCCTTTATCACTATGAGGTAATGGAGCAGAATATTTGAGATCAAGAACTGGCCTGACATCTGTGACTCTATCCTAAACCCTTTGGTGGGAGGGAAGAGGAAGTGTCAGACAGTTGCTTTCTGTAATCCCTCAGAGCTGCATCCGTTTCCTGGTTAAGGACATTTCCCAAGTCACACAGCTAGTAGATGGCCAAGCAAGAATTTAGATTCCAATTGACTTCAGTCCAAAGTCTAGATTCTTTCTACTACACTGATCTAAGGACGTAACTTAGGAATAAGGAATGATCTAAGGAGTACCCACTTAGAACTATTTCAGGGTAAGCAGGCACATGGCTGAAAATCCTCCCTGCCCATGAAGAACTCCCCTTTGTCTTTGGTAAGAGTGTTTTCCAGACATGGAGATTCCAGTAGAACTGGTTGTTTAGATCACACCCATCATTATGTTGGCCACTGTTCTAACCTCTAGGGCTTTGTGCTATTAAGATCTGTTCCCTGATAAACTGTGCATCACAACCTGTCTCCCATGTTACCAATTACCACAAGTAGTCATTGCCTAAAAAAGTACAGTCACCTGGTAGAAGTGGCCAAAATATCAGCTGTGGGAAGAGATAATTTAAAAAAAAAAACTTTTCTTATCATGTTTCAATTTGCTGTCAACCATTCCCATTAGACTGTATATTGCTAGTGTGGGAACCTCATTATATCATATCTTTCTTAGCATCACAAATGCCTACCTAGCTCAAAATCTGATATACTTCAACATAAATAATAAATGAGTGAAGAAGTGAGTGAATGTGTAACTTGATAGGAATAAGACAAAGTAATGAGACCCCACAGGCAAGTGATAAATACAACTTGGGACACAAGTCAGAGTAACCATAAGATATCTGGGAAGTGACTACCCAGGCAGTCTGGAAACCCCACTACAAAAGTGTTAGGAGGTGTCGGAGGGAAAAGGGAGCACACATCCCATTCTTTTTGTTTGTGAGTAGGTAGATGATTGCGATATCTCATAGTAGAGCTTCCAGAAAGAATATGGAAAGGCAGGGCTAATACAGGTTTTCAAAGCATACTCATCACCTTTGAGGTGTATAGTGTATAGACCACCATGCTCCAGCAGAAATATATAAGCTGCATTAAAATGGCATCATAAGACCAAGGTGCCTGCTGTCAGATGGTGTCCCCTAGGCAAAACAAGGAAAATGCATTCACAGACTCTCAACAATAAGATTACCTAAACAAGACTAACATAATGACAGTACCAGGGGACATGCCAATAAGGACCTGGGAAATATTACAAGGTCCTACCCCTAAATAAAGAACTAAAGGTGATCAACAGCGATTGAGAGAAAGAGAATCTGTTTTTCTCCAGGGACTAGCTCCTCATAGATTGTCTAGTCTCAAGTAGTCAGCCCTTGACACATACACATATGAGTAACACTACATGGACTCAGTAGGCTATATATTATGCATATGAGCATATAAGTGCATATGGGTACATATGTGTTCATGTGTGTATACGTAACAATAGTAACTAAAGAAGAGCTCGTGAACTTGGGAAGGAGAGTATGGTACACATAGTAATTGGGGGGGGGGTGAGAATGATGTAGATAGATAAAATGTTGATATATGAAATTCTCAAAATGAAAACTTTTAAAGATGACATCCTCCATCTTTACTTTTATATAGTCATATTTAAACTTCCTATTTATAGCCATAATATAATAGCCAAAATATAATGACTTAAATCTGTAATCAACATAAAAATATTGGTGAAATATTTTGTATTTATTTATACTGATTCTTCAAAGTGAATCTTGAGACTTAGTTTATCTAGCCATATATAGTTTGTAGCTTCTATATTTGTCAGAGCTGATCTATAATATATATGCATGAATTATTAAGAGATGGAAAATATGGTAATAAAATATTATTGCTGTTCATTCTTCCATAAACAATTAACACAATGAGAAGAAATTGAGTTTCTCAAAGAGCCAGAGTTTTAGCTCCAGTATCTCATATCTCCCTGAGCCACCCATGGAACTAAATGTCATCATGTAGAGATGGAATTGAGCTTCAAAGAAGATGAGTGATTAGCCAAAACTTACACATCAGCAATTAAACAGCTAGTATAAGAAAGAAGATTGAGAGACCTCCAAATCTTTCGCTCTATTTAAACTCTCAAACTTAGAGTAAGAAAGAAAATCTCCAGCAGCTTAATTGAAGATGATTCTGGCTTGGTACCAGCTAGAATGTTTTAGTCTCATTTACTTTTATAGAAGAGCATCATCTTGCAATGATCTGAGCAGAGTCCTCCAATGAGAGAGAACACAGATTCTTGACTCTGAAATATTTATTAAAGTCAGATTTCTAGAGTCACCTTTCCCCCCAGAACTAATTAAAATCTTAGTTGTGAGGCTCCTTTGTATGTAAAATAAGAATAAGACTCTCTGCTCCATCCATCTACCATCAGAATCATATTTTTTATAGAGGGCTTCTATAAAAAGGAGGCTAGAAAACCATTCCATGGGAGTAGATTATGTTTCCATTCTCTGGAGTTCTTTTTAGCCTGCAGTTGTGTTCTGGAATTAGAAAAGTATTTCTTCCTAGCTCTGAGCACCTTTTTCTAATAAGCTCTGCTGTAGCCCAGCATCAGGGTCAACAACAGAAACCAAATCTCCTATTTCCACTTTGTATATGCAGAACACTCCAACAATGAGGAGTGTCTGGGGAGAAAATTCTATTAGTGAATGAATTCTCTCTTCTCCTCAGGGCCTGTCAGCTGACTGGTGGAATTATCGACACTTTCAGCATCATGTAAAACCAAACATCTACCCCAAGGATCCAGACATTGATGTGGGCCCACTTTTCCTGCTTGGAGATACTCAGCCTGTCAAGGTGCATTTAACTACCCTTTATTAGCATTAGGAAAATGTTCCTGGAAGTATCCCTTATTATAGAAAGATCAAGTTGGATTGTTCTAACTTCACAAAGGATCTCCTAGCCTCTTCTTTCCCTTTTAAGGTCCAGATAAAGACCTGAATAACAAAGTCTGGAGTTACAAGTATAGAAGAATGTTAAGAGTCATGGCTCTCTGGCCATAAAGGTCACTCAGTCCAGACTCCCACAGCAGAAGACATAATAACCTATGTCACCCTGATTGAGCAATCCCAAAGACAGGTTCATTTCTGGTCCTTATCACTACCTCTGAGGCAACATAAACCATTCTCAGGAAGCAGAATCAGATGACAAGGACCAACATTAGTTTTCAAAGCAAGGTTATGAAGAGATGGTCACTGAGAGAAAATAAACTCAGTGCATCTGGTTAGCACTAGACTGCAAACGTCTAAACAACTGGTTAGTTCAATTCATTCTAGTCCAGTTAAAAGAGATGCTGATGCTATTTTTAGTTCATGTTCATTTTAGTATGCACGCTTTATATGAACCACATTGCCCAATGACTTATATGACAGCTGTAGATCCAACTCATAATTTGGACTTTTAAACAAATACTGGAATATAAAAGTAATAAGCTGAATTTTTCAGTCATTGACTTTTCTTTAAAGTCTCAACTTGAGTCTGTCATCTAAAGACTATTTAAATTACTGAATTTTATAGTAAAGAGAGTGTTCCTTAAACAAAAGAGGTATACTGATTAAAGCAAAACTTTATCCCTTATCTAGGAGAATGATCGCTCTGACAATCACATAGTTTCTTTTTTTTTCATTTTTCTTTATTAAGAAATTTTCTACTCACTCCACATACTATCCACAGATCCCCCCTCCTCCCTCTTCTTACCCCCCCCAGCCCTCTTTCCCAAGCCACCCTGCATCCCCACATATCCCAAATCAAGGTCTCCCATGGGGAGTCAGCAGAGCCCAGCACACTGAGCCTAGGCAGGTCCAAGCCCCTTCCCACTGCACCAAGGCTGAAGAATCACATACTTTCAAACAGATCTCTATCTTCTAGAAGAACTTAAGAGTGTTTGGAGATTTTTATTCTTTGTCATTTGTTGCCTGGACACAGAACCCAAAGACTGTGTAACTTTTAGAAAATTGTTTTTTTCCATCTTTGAGGAACTTATCTTCTGCCCTAAATAAAGTAGAAAATGAAAGTTTTTGCTTATGTATGGGTTAAATATGTTACCTGTTATCACAAACGAATTGCTTTTGATAATGGCTCTACAAACTTTGATTCCCTTGATGCTTGTGGACTTCCATGCTCATCACTAGAAAGGTGATAGGTTGGTGTCTCTGACATATCTCCCGGAGCATAGGAGGTTTGTCTCTAGCTAATGAAGTAGCTTGACTCCCTCCAAATCACCTTCTAGAGAGCTGTCCTTAGTATACATGCTGTCACTTTACAAATATGATGCCATCTCCTCTGTGGGCCCCTTCACAGAACTTTCAAGTTCTAGACACTATAGCTTAAAGCATGGATCACAGTTATTTCACCTCTGAAACTCAGTGGTTTATTTCCACAGAAGTGGTGTTTCTTATATGAGTTATGAGCTTTTTCTTTTGTATATCTTTCCTAAGAGTCTTTCTAACCCTTTATTCAAACAGGACTTTCTTAATCCACATTGACTATCCAGAAAGACTTACTGTCCTTCTTCAGGGTAATACTCAACTCGTTCATCAAGGTTTATCAAGTCCAAAGAATAATCCATCTCATCCCTTTTCCTTGTTTCTCACTACTTAGGTATTTGGAGACTCAAGAGCAACCACAAATAGATATTAATATTTCATCACCACAGTATTTCTTTTCACTTATGGTAATAAAAGGACATGCTAGCTACATTGTCTCAATAAAGGAAGCTATCTGTACATAGAAGGGCAAAGACCAACTAAGTAAAATGAATCCAACATTTCCTCTAATGTAACTTTATTACCAGAGGGGAAAAAGTGTCTAAATTATCATTCACTCATTTAATCCCTTAATTAATGTCAGCTAGATACTAGAGATATACAACCATTAATCCTATGCCTCAAAGTAATTGCTACCATTGTATTCTGAGCACAGATCATATTGACCAAGAAGCCCAGGAAATGAATCAAATTCTGATTTATGAGTGGAATCTTTTTTTTTTTTTTTTTTTTTTTTTGGTTTTTCGAGACAGGGTTTCTCTGTGTAGCTTTGCTCTATGAGTGGAATCTTATACTTACATATGTATATGATGAGCAATATTTGTAAAAATATTATACACACTATTATGATGTCTTAGAAATGGTAAGTTAATTGAAATCTGTAATAAGAATATAAAAGAAAAAAGATGAGAGAAATAGGAGGGAGCATGTGTGTATCCCTTTTTATCACAAGATCACTTACTGAACACCCATTAGATGAAACAGTAGAGATAGTGCTGGAAGTTCAGGCCCAAGTCTAAGCACTACAGTTAAAGAGGGCTGAAAAGACTCCGCAGAAATGTGTATTTTGAGGTTAACATTGCACGTGAAGAGAATAAATTTCAAAATTTTTAAACCACACAGGGAAAAACAATATTAAATTTTTACTTAGATGAGAATTATTTTTAAATGATAATAAACTCTGAGCAAGAATTACCCTCAGTTAAAGCACACTATTCCCAAGCCTGTTCTGGTTCTTCCAGTATCTCAAGTTTGACAGGCAATGAGTCCTAAAATCATGCCTCTCCCTCCCTCCCTCATTCCTCTTTCTCTCTCTCTCTCTCTCTCTCTCTCTCTCTCTCTCTCTCTCTCTCTCTCTCTCTCTCTCTCTCACACACACACACACACACACACTTACATATGCTAAAGAATAATGACTCTTTTTATCCTCTGCCCTTTTAGTACGGCAAGAAGAAAATAAAATACATTGACTATGAGAAGCAGCACCTGTACTTCTACATGGGTGAGTCTCCTGCAGCCACTTTTCTTGTAAGCACTAGTCAAGCCAAAGACATGATCAGAACTGTCTCACAGAAACCAACCCATATCTGATTTGTTAATGAGAAAATAAGCAGATCTCATTTCAGACTCACTGGTGGGAAAACATGAAATGGAAATTGAAAAGTAAATAGGCAGTTCTAACAGGTGTCTCATCAGACTAGGTACTGGGCAAGAAATAAAAAAATGTACTTAAAGAGGGTCAGAAGGCAGAATGCTAAAGAGGGAGTCAACATCCTTGTCTTATAAAATTTTAACAGCATTGAAATAAAGGAATGATAACATTTTTGTAGAGAGAAAACAGGTGGGGAAAACAATACTGAAGAATTTGCAATGTGATGCCAGAAAAAAATAGACCAAAGAATAAAGAGCATCAAGAAAGTTTCTACATGGAAGAAAGCTTGTAGCTGCTAAGATTAGCAAACATCTGTAACATAGGCCCACAAATCAGACACTTAGATGATAGGTAAGTGGGTATGTATGCGTGTGTGTGTATATATATATGTGTGAGTGTGTGTAAAGACAGATAAATATAAACAGACCGAAAGATAGATGATAGATAGATAGATAGATAGATAGATAGATAGATAGATAGATAGTACACTATAATGCTAACCTTAAAAGCAAAACCATTTAGTTTAGTAATTCTGATACCATTATTATTACTATTATTATTATACAAAATCAAACTCCTTGTGTCTTATGAACAAGTTTTCAAGTAACTCCAAAGCCCACTGATCTAAAACATCCTTGCACATCTGGAAACAAGCTAACATCAGGGAAGGAGACAAACACCACCAGTATACCACAGGTTGTCAACTGAGGATATTTTTCTCTCAGGGAACATTTGAACAAGATCTAGAGACATTTTTGCTTCTCAGTATGGAGGGGAAGGGTGATAATATCAAAAATTCTGTAATATGCAAGAATAAACCATCATAATAAATGATTACCTAGACATATAATTCAGTACTTCTGACACTGAGAAGCCCTCACAGTCTCCCATTTGCCCACATAGACAACTAGTGGTCACTTATATTGACAGAAGATACTTGTCAATTGGGGCTACCCTTCCCGATTCTCTTCCACACTGGGATTCAGTATCTCCACCCTGTACCCATCATTGCACCTTTTTGTGCCACATTTCAAAAGAAATCAATTGAAAGATGTTGACTATGAGGTAGAAAGGAGTGTGATAAAGCTAGACCATCTCTGTTTGCAGACTGGTGTCTATTGGTACTAGGCTTTGGTTCCTCTTGTCAGGTTGGATGAGACAAAGTAAATTATTTTGGCAGCATTTAGTTTTCCCAAGTGGGAACTTTAAGGAAGCTGTATATTCTCACTTTGAGCTGCTACAGTGGGTATGGGTAAAGTCATTTGTGCTGACAATTAGCAGTCTTCATTGGTCAAGCCTGAGATCTAGTTGAGAACAAAGCTCAAAGGAAGCTAACTAAAATTTGGCCAGGTAAAAGGTATTTGTCCAAAGCCAAGGGTCTCCCAGAGATTGTTTTGTGCTCTTGGAAGCCTTAGTGATGTGATGAGAAAATCAGGTACATAGCTTTATTGCCAGAAATGAGTATACTGACATCATTCCACTCATACCAATGTATTGTGGCAGAACCCATCTCTGAGGACTTAGAGGCCTAAAAGACTCCAGTACCTAAGAAAACCTTGAAAAGTCACAACAGAAGATAGGTGAAAGTGTCTATCAAAACGACTCTTACCTTCAATATTTCATTAGCTACTTCAGGAAACTTGAACCTGGAACTGTTGACCTCTGCGGTGTCAAAGTCCAGTGGAGTCCAGGATATGATTCTGGATATCCACCTTGCATCCCTTCTCAAGGCCAACACTCTGGGAAGGGCATGCAGAAGAAATAAACACCCACCGGCTTGCACTGAGGTCTACATTGCTCGTTTATTTGTCAAATTTTTGGGGTCTTTTTCAGTTGCACTTCCCCTCCTCATGCCCGTCTACTTCAATCTCCAATCCATGCAAGTGATGTACCTTCGGAAGTACTGGACGGTGAGTCCCTCGCCCCATTTTCTAAACCTAGAGCAGATAGAAAATGAGTTAAAAGTGCTGTGTGGTCTCCAGGTATAGCTTACTCAAGTAACAGGACATCAGACTGAGACAGTGTCCAAAGAACAGGATATGAAACCATGTTCAAGTTTCTCATCAAAATGCTTCTGTCTGCAGGACATCGCTTGGGTCAGCAGCTTTTACATTCGATATTTCATCACATTTGGCCCTTTCTATGGAATTTTTGGAACAGTATTGCTCATATATTTGGTCAAGTAAGAACATTCTCTTATTTCTATAACCTCTTTTACCATAACTATTTGTAGTTAGTAAAATATGATGACAATGTGCCCCACTCCATGAGAAGTTTGAAAGCAAGCTGAAAGGCAATGGTTCTTCAAATGGTTGAACAACACAAGTTCTGTCTAAGAATTTGTCCAGGTTGTGTTTCCCCTTCTTTCTTAAATTCTCAACGAAGCCATGTCTGCTGTTCTCTAAGACCATTATAGCTTAAGTGATTTGACATCTTAAACTCTGTCAAGAATCATGATAAAGCAAGAAAAAATTTAAGCTCTGTCACGACTAGAAATTTTTCCCAAACCCCAAATGGCTTCAAAGCACACGTTTGCATAAGTATTCCTTCCAGACTTCTAACTTGTTTCTTTCTCACTTGGTTGCATTGCTACACTATACGCCCACTAGATATAAGGATAATGAGAGCAACTGTGTATCAGACAATCGGTTAAGGGCTCAACAGTCATCATTTTGTTTGATGTAATCCCCACAGTCTTACTATGTAGATGGTATCATCTTTCTTTCTGCTCAGGGAACTGAAGCTTGGAGAGATTAAATCACTTGCCTAAGGTAAAAGAACAAGTAAGGGCCAAGACTGGTGCCAAGACAGAACTCGAACCCAGCCCTATCTGTTGAAAAACTGTCAATTGCTTTACAAATGCCCTTAGAGAAACCTGGCAATTTTTTTTTCTTATACTGAGAACTGAACCAGGCTTTATGCATACCAGACAAGCACTCAGCCCCTGGTATATTTTATCCTTGCACCGAAGCTAGAGTAGACTACTTACAGGCACTGCTCCTGTGAATTAAAAAGTGGAACAAAGCACATGGCCAAATATTTGTGTGTCAACACTAGCTAAAAATAGCATTCAAAGAGGAAATGGACAGCCACTAGAATCTTGGAACCTCTTTCATTTCCTTCAGTGTTTGGCCAATCCAGCCAAAGGTCATTCAAGTTCAGTGACTGCAACGAAAGCACACTAAAGGAGTCACCATTACCTCCTTTTATTTCTCCAAAGGTTTCTTGAGAGCCCCTGGATCGCCTATGTTACCCAGATGAGCCACATACCAATGAAAATGAGCAGAGAGGAGAACCACGATTGGCTCAGCACGCAGGTGGTGACGGCATTCCCAAGGGACAGTCTCCCAACCAGACAGGCTTAGAGTCTGCTTACTTCAGATAATAATAACTCACCTTCATGAAACACTCCCCGAGGGATAGGCACTGTGCAGTGGTTTGCATATAACTACACGAGGTGGACATCATGATTATTCTCACTTTACAACATGATAAAACTGACTTGTAAAAAAGGGTTGGTAACTTGTATATGGGCCCACAACTTATAAGTGATAGCAACGGGTTTTAAACCTAAGCAGCTTAATTATAGAGTCTTGCTTGCAAAGTAAAAGTTGGTCACGTATAATCCAGCAGCCAAATCTGACCCACTGGTTGTTTGTGTATATCAAGTTTTACTGGGGCATGGTCATGGTTAGTTATTTATATATTTTCCATGGCCACTTTCATGCTATAAGAAAATTGTTGATGACAAAATTAAGAGATTTACTGTTAAGACTATAACTAACTCCTTTATGTAATACAAAGTGACCATCCCTGAAACTATATACACACAGACAATAAAAATGGACTCAGTGGATTATATTTATATATTTGGGCATACGTGGACATATATATGTAACACTCGTAATCAAAGAAAAAGGCTATAATTTTGAGAATAGGGTGGGTCATGGAAGGAGTTGGGGGAAGGTACTTGGGAAGGACTGCAAAAGGAAAAGGAGGGAGGAAAGTGATATTTTGATAAAAAAAAGTATTTAAAAATATAAAGATAAGATTTATTACCTGGGAACTTATAGAAAATGTGTATTGACTTCCTATGCTACTCACTCATATAACAAAGCCTTTCAAGTGAATCTAAGGCTCAAAATTACAGGATGAGTTGTACACTAGTAAGGACTCTAAAAAGAATGATTTCACTGTATAGACAACACATTTCAGAGGGAGAGAGCATGGCATGCTCTCGACACATGCATTTAATGCTTAGCAAAGTTATGGTCCACCCAAAACATTTCTGCCTCCTAACTCATGGTCCTTTCCACTGACTGTGTTACAATAACTGGGGATTTATTCATTTTCTTGCTTTTGCTCCAGGCTCATACTCAAACTCAGAGAACCCCGCCCCTTACAAAGAATGATTCTCAAGTGTTTAACCAGAGAACTACTTCTGTATCTTTTAATTTTTACTCATCATTTCCTTAGTCATTAGTTAGACTAGATGCTTTTCACATACTTGTTGGATTTACATAAACTTTTATGTGAATTGTTTCCCAGTATCCTTGACCTATTGTTTATGTGAGTATTAATAATCTTTTGGTGACATGTTATAAAGTAGGGCTTTTAAAATATTGCCCATAACATATCTTATAAATGTTTTCTTACTTGATTTTTTAACTCTGTAATTTTATTGTAGAAATACTTTATTAATATTTCATAATTTCTTCTCACTCAAAAGCCCTCAAGTCCTAACAATACATTTTCCACAACAAACCTAAAAAAAAAAACCCATCTGCATTAACCAAACTCCTCATTCATGACCATGTAGCCTTCTGTGTCTAAGGAATGGTTCTGACATTTCTCCTTCAGTCCTACATATGTCTTCATATCCATTGCTTTATATGTACTTCGTAGCAAAATATCTTAGTGTGTTTTAAACGGTAAACTTCATGAAGGCTGGGACTTTGTTTGCTGTATATCACTCATAGCTACTAAAAAATAAAAAAAAATAACAAATAATCATGTGTTGATAGATGATTACACAAAATAATTAGCATTTTGGTATTTAGGTTCACTTACAGCTAATGCAAGATTTTTCTTTGCAGATTGTGGCCACCTGTAATATTGAACAGTCCTTTTTCAATGATTGGTTCACTGGGCACTTGAACTTCCAAATTGAACACCAGTGAGTGATACAAATGATCCATTATGGAGCAAGGGCTGACCCAATATAGCAGATCCTGCAACCATTCAGTTAAGAGTCTCAGAGAACTAAGAAGTTTAACCAGGGTTCTCTAAGGACTGCTGTCCATCAGTGCCAGTGATTCGGCTGGGAAAGAAAGAAGAGGAAATCTAACAGTTGTGGAAAGTGAAGTGGAATTACAGAAATGGACCAGTAACTTAGTTTCCATGTATTATGAGTATTGAGAATTGGTGATTTCTATAGGACAGGGAGAAGGAATATATATGGATATTTGAGTATATGGGTCCATGTATATTTTGTTTGTTAACGAAACCTAAGAAAAATTGTAGCACTGGAGTAACCAAGTTTTATTGAAATTTAAGTATAATTTAATGTAAATATCATGTTAAGGCAAAATAATCAACACTGAAATTCAGTCACTTCTGCAATTCCCAGGTGAATCTGAAGATACTTTTCCATTTAATCAGTTAAGTGGTCATCTAATAAAGAAATGGAAAGTAATAATACTCAGATGGCTGATCTCCCCCAGAATATGAAGCAAGATGCTTCTCATAGTTCCTTCTGTGAGGCTACATCTAGGAGTCAGAGAAAAAAGCTACTATGTTCCTAATGCTGTTTTCTCAGTCTTTATTCTTTGTCAATTCTTGAACACCCTAGCAAAAGGAGAATCACAATTCACGTATTATTTAAGAAAGTATTCAGGTCCAGGAAGATTACCTGGCTAATTAGTGCCAAACCTTGGATAAAAGCCATACCTTCTTGCCTCAAATTTGAATCTGATAACTTCCTTTTAAACATCACAACTAGACCTGAGTGAATACTTATCTGTTCAAAAGATAGGTTTTAGATAGGAAGAACAGAAGAGAGACAAGCAAGGAAAAGACGTGATCTCTTGTTCTCCTAGGCAATTCAAAATACTAGCTAAACCATAATCTCATTTGACCTGACCAAAACTAAGCATATGAAATGGAGCTAATATTTATTCTCTTAGCATTTACCAAACACTTGCCATCCACATGGCTTACAGAGCTGTTAAAAGATAAGAGTTTTGGGAGTAGGCAATCTGGCTTGCTAGAAAGCTTGTACAAGGCTGGGTCTGCATTATTGGTATGCTTTTATTTAGAAATAAACAAAACTCTTTTGGGTTTCTCTTTAGGTGCAAGTTTCACATCTCCTGTTTGTTTTCTTAGCCTATTCCCCACAATGCCACGCCATAATTATCACAAAGTGGCACCTCTGGTGAAGTCACTGTGCGCCAAGCATGGATTGCAGTATATAAACAAGCCCATATTGAAGGCATTTGGAGATATTGTCAGGTAATAAAATAATTTATCTTTGCTCATAGCTTTCATTTCCCTTTCTTCCAAGCCCCCAAACTATTCATCAGCTTATGAATCTTTCATTAACAGCCATTCATTAAGAGACACCAGTATCAACAATAATAATGACACATAAATATTGACTGTTTACCTAACAAACTCTAGGTATTCCTTAATAGAAATACCCCAGCATCCTACATAGTTCCAATTTATTGAAATCATAGCTATGTAGGGCTGTCTTTGTATTCCCTATAGATCTCTGGACATGATTTAGAATTTAACATGATAGGAAAGACCATCAAATCTTATGATCCATTGGAGAAACTGTTACCATTTGAAGGGATGTAATGGCATGAATCAGTCTGGGTAACCAGTTATGCCTAGTGAGTCTAAGAGCAAATGCATATGCATACATAAGCATGTTCCAGCAGGATGTGGTACTGGACAAATTTACAATCACTGGTCTGAGTTTAATAATGTTCTCTTTTTTAAAGTATCAGGGGAATATTGTGAAGGCTATCATGGAAACATCTGATCTCATCTACCTCTGTCAGTCTCTCCACATTATTCCTCCTCTCTGTCATGTGGACGTTTGGTCTACCTTCCGTTGCTGTAACACTTCCTGTGCCTGAGTGTCTCATCCCTTTGCCTTGTTTTCTCCTGCCTGCAACATTCTTAAAACTATCATGTCGCATTTCACCTTCTCAACTCCCAATCTCTCTCTAAGGCTCATTGCAATATTTCCCTTATGTCAGCCTTCACTGGTCTCAAGACTAAATCTATCCTTATCATAGTCCTTATCATAACCCTGATTCAGAAGTTTGCTAACTAAACAATTATTTAATGCTTATCTTTCAAATAAGACCAAGAGTCTATACGAATAGGATTTGTTCTGTCTCTTTTGATGTAACATACCTAGATCCTAGAAATATGTTTTCCATTATAAAATAGGAAAGGTAGGTGAATATGGTATGAGTTGATATTTAGGTATATGGTATAGAAAAAAATAAAATGAAAACAAAACTCAAACCTTCTCCATGGAAGAAAACCAAACTCATCTGCTGAAATGAATTCAGTACATTTGATGCCCTTCTCTGATTAACAGACAGTGACATTTATCACGTATGGCTAGAAACTACATTGTCCTAAAACAAGAAAAGCATCCAATAAATGTTTGATGGGAAATTCCTTTGTACTGAGTTTCACTTTCTAACAATTTTGTTTACTCCTCTAGGTCCTTGAAGAAGTCTGCTGCCCTCTGGATGGATGCTTATTATGAATGATACAGAGCCATGCATGTATTGGTATCTCTGAAGTGGGTGGTGGCTGTGTAAGAGCTCTTCTCTGATTCACTGAGAATTAACTGGCAACATTGGCATACCTGAGTATGCCAGGAATATGAATCCCGAAGACACATGTTAGCCTCTCACTGAAGGTCTTCTCTGTAACTGAGAGGAGGAAGAAACACAAGGTGACTTTGGTCAGAATAACAAAGGAATTGTAGCTCACTGTTTCTACTTTTTCATTAGGATCTTGGACTTAGTTCCACTAGACCTCAGCGAGATTGTTTCCACAAGGGGTATAAGATATGTGGACATAAACAGAAGTGAGAAAAGAAAGATCTCTGACACAGTCCATTGGAAATCAGTGTAACTGTTCTTAGAAGAGAATTGTTTATTTAAGACATCCCTGCTGAAGTACAAATTTTTGCTTACTTCCTTTCAAATAGGTGAACTTCCTCTCCAAAAACTGATTATAATTAACACTAAAACATCTTCAAATGTTTGTCTTCACTTTGGATTTTCTGTTTTGTGGCTAAAACATGGGTGTAACTTGTGTACATATGCATGTGTTTCCATGTCGAGAAATTAGAATTTCTATAAAGTCTCCTAAAAGAATTACCAAAATCCAACCCCAATAGCAACTGATGAATATCTGTTTAAAGGTGCTTCTGTTTAACTAAAGTATAGAGTGCTCCTTGATTTAGGATTCCTCCTCCCTACCCAGAAAAGCAAACGTCTCCAAATGTTCTTACTAGATCACGTGGATGAAGGGAAGAACCATGAGCTATATCAAGTCAATTTTTCAAGTTTAGCAGCAAATTAAGCCTACTTTTCACCATTTTCTCTCTCATGAATGAATTTCACTAGTGATCACTATTTCTATTCTTTTTGTTCAGTCTTGGTTTCACCCGATAATTCTAGGAATGTATCCTCATTTTACAGATTTTCTAATTCATTGGTAATTGTTTTGTAGTGATCTCTTAGGATCTTCTGTCGGTGGGTTAGCAAAAGACACACACCAATGAATAGATATTTTCAGTACCATACTGGTTTCTTTTGTTAAGCTTTTCATAAAGGGTATAATAAAACCTGACCTTACTTGCAGGAAGAAAACATGTAATGACAAGGTTTTCTTCTCTAGCTCTAATCAAACCAGTGTTGTTGGTTTATCTGTTGTCTGAAGTCTTTGGTAAGCATTCATTCATTCTCCCAAAACTCTTAAAAATACTCTAGGTTTCTTTGCATCCTAACTGAATTCCTTGCAAAGAATGGCACATTTAATCACTCACTGTTCCTGAGGATTCACAAACATGCATACAAAGGAAAGAAATAGGAACAAACTCTTTGGAGAAGAGATGCTGAAATAGTCATAATGTCCAATGGGAAATTTGAGCAAGAAGATAAGAAGGATGCAGAACTCTGTCAACTTGGTGATTATTCCTAATACTAGTAGACCCAAGGGTAATTTCTCCTGCCTGGACTCAGACATGCATGTGGGATGAAATTGCAATTTGGTGGGTTTCTCTAGCCAAACCTGGTTCAGTTCCTAGAGGCTCTCAAGCCCTGTTTTTTTCTTGGGTCCTTTTGGGGGAGGGGGCGGTCCTTAGCAATAGCAAAATCCTCAAAGGAAATCCTAGTATTAAAATCTGACTACCTTTCAAAGTCTACAAATATTTCATTACTACGAATTTTTTAAGAAATTCTATATTTCTTAAAAATAGAATACATTGGGGAACTGTAAATTAGTTAAATAAATAAATAGATCTAGCCAGCTAGTTTTGGGCTTTTCTTTCTTGGAAGATTTTGGTTACTGCTCTACTACGATATCTTTACTCCTTATTTATCTTTTATATTTCCTATTCATCATGATTCAGTCTTGCTAATTTGTGTTGTTCTAAGAATTTATGTAGATCTTATAAGTTACACAGCTTGTCAGTGTGCAATTTTTGTAGTGTTCCACTGTGATTCTCTATATTTCTGTGCATTGCGAAAGAACATACACTAAGTCATATGCTATATAGCAATTCATGAGTAGTTAGAGGGCCCAGAGCTCCCATCCGGCCCAGAGGTGAGTGACTGGGTTCATACCCAGGGAGGCCTGCCCCTAGGTCCCATCCCTGGGCCCCAGCCATCCGCCTAACTCGGCCCCAGTTGCCTGCAAGTGGGCAGGGCTCCAGCGGAAGGTTCCCCTTCTCCAAGACCCCCCAGCAGACCCTGCAATCTACATGCCCTGCCCCCACACCCATCTGCCCGAGACCCCCACCACTTCCTGAGACTTGGAGACCAACCTCCAGCTCCCATCAGACCCAGAGAGCTCCCATCTGTCCCAGAGAGCTCCTACCCTGCCCAAAGAGCTCCCATCCAGCCCAGAGAAAGAGAGAACTCTCATTGGACAAAGAGCCATCATTGGACTAAGAGTAAACTCAGGAGACAGGGAATCTGCCAATCCTGATTAGACCAAGAGTGGCTTTCTGAGAAGTAGAATCCACCACCTCTCATTGGAGCAAGAGAGGGTTCCTGAAATGCTGAATCTGTCAGCTCTGACTAGACCAAGAGCCCTGATAAGACCAAGAATGAATCCATGAGTCACAAAATTTAACTAGCTTGGTTTGACCCAAGAGCAGCTCGCTGAGACACAGAAGCTGCCTGCTCCAATCAGACCAAGAGCTAAGATTAGACCCAGAAGGGTCCCCTGAGACACAGACACAACAAACACAGAGTGGACCAACAGCTACTCGCTCAGACACAGGCACCTCTTATACCTATTAGACCAGGAGATGGGCAGACGTCAATGCAGAAGTACATACAACAACATAAAGAACAATACAGCATCACCAGAACCTAGCCCTGCTCCAACAGCAAGACCTGAACATCACAAGGTGGAAGAAGCAGAAGAAAGCAATCTTAAGAATAGCATCATGAAGATGCTAGCGGCCTTTCAAGAAAAAATGAAATTGAGGAAAAGATAAACAAAAAAGTGGAGGAAATCAATAAAGAAAGTGAGAAAAAGTCAAACAAAAAATGGGAAGAAATCTATAAAGAACTAGAGGAAAAGACAAATAAGAAAGTGGAAGAAAACAATAAATCCCTAAAGAAAACCATGAAAAAGCAATGAAACAGGTGAGTGAAAAAGTTCAAGACCTGAAAAGGGAAATAGAAACAATGAAGAAGACACAAACAGAGGGAATGCTGGAAATAGAAAATCTGAGTAAACGAATAGGAAACACAGATGCAAGCATAACCAACAGAACACAAGAGATGGAAAAGAGGATCTCTGGTGTAAAGGATACAATAGAGGAAATGGATTCATCAGTCAAAGAAAATACCAATGCCAAAAATGTCATAGCACAAAATGTCCAAGAAATCTGGGACACCATGAAAAGACCAAACCTAAGAATAATATGGATAAAGGAAGGAGAAGAATACCAACTCAAAGGCACAGAAAATATATTTAACAAGATCATAGAAGAAAATTTTCTCTACTTAAAGAAAGAAAATGCCTATGAAGATACAAGAAGGCTATGGAACACCAAACAGACTAAACCCCCCAAAAAAGTCCCCTTGCCACATAATAATTAAACAACTAAATGTACAGAATAAAGAAAGACTATTAAGAGCAGCAAAGGAAAAAGGCCAAGTGACTTATAAAGGCAAACCCATCAGAATAACACCCAATTTCTCAATGGAGACTTTGAAAGCCAGAAGGACCTGGACAGATGTAATACAGATGCTAAGAGACTATGGATGCCAGCCTAGACTAATATACCCAGCAAAACTTTCAATTACTACAGATGGAGTGAACAAGACATTCCAAGACAAAACCAGATTTAAATAATACTTATTCACAAACCCAGTCCTACAGAAAGCACTAGAAGGAAATTCCAAACTAAGGAAATCAGATACACCCACGAAAACACAGGCAATAGGTAACACCACAACAGTAAACTCCAAAGAAGAGAAGTACACACACACTACCACCAAAAGATAAAGGGAATGAATAACCACTGGTCATTAATATCCCTTAATATCAATAGACTTAATTCACCTATAAAAAGACACAGGCTAACAGAATAAATACGAAAACAGGACCCATATTTCTGCTGCATATAAGAAACACACCTCAAATTCAAAGATAGACACTACCTAAGAATAAAAGGCTGGGAAAAGTCTTTCCAATCAAATGGTCTTAAGAAGTAAGCTGGTGTAGCCATCCTAATATCCAGCAAAATAGACTTCAAACTAAAATCAGTCAAAAGAGATCAAGAAGGGCATTACATACTCATCACAGAAAAGATCCACCAAGATGAAGTTTCAATTCTGAACATTTATGCCCCAAACACAAGGGCACCCGCATATGTAAAGAAACATTACTAAAGCTTAAATCACATATAAAACCCCACACATGAATAGTGGCAGACTTCAATACCCCACTCTCACCACTGAACAGGTCTCCCAAATCGAAACTTGAGAGAGAAATAAAGGACTTAACTGATGCTATGACTCAAATGGACTTAATCGATATCTACAGAACATTCCATCCAAACAAAAAAGAATATACCTTCTTCTCAGCACCCCATGGAACCTTCTCTAAAATCGACCACATACTTGGCCACAAAGCAAATCTCAACAGACACAAAACAATTAGAATAACTTCCTGTGTTCTATCAGACCACCATGGTTTAAAGTTAGATTTCAACAACAACAAAAACTACAGAAAGCCTACATCTCATGGAAACTGAATAATGCTCAACTAAATCATCATTGGGTCAAGGAAGAAATTAAAGACTTGCTAGAGATCAATGAAAATGAATATACCACATACCCAAACTTATAGGACACTATGAAAGTAGTGCTAAGAGGGAAATTCATAGCACTAAATGCCCACATAAAGAAGTTGGAGAAATCTCACACTAGTGACTTAACAGCACACCTGAAAGCTCTAGAACAAGAAGAAGCAAAGTTACCCAGGAGGAATAGACTCTAGAAAATAATCAAATTGAGAGCTGAAATCAATAAAATAGAAACAAAGAGAACAATACAAAGAACTAATGAAACAAAGAGTTGGTTTTTTGAGAAAATCAACAAGATAGACAAGCCCTTATCCAAACTAACCAAAAGGCAGAGAGAGAGCATCCAAATTAGCAAAATCAGAAATGAAAAGGAGACAGACATAACAACTAACACTGAGGAAATCCAGAGAATCATCAGGTCATACTTCAAAACCTCTACTCCACAAAAATGGAAAATCTAAAAGAAATAAATAATTTTTCTGGATAGGTACCACATACCTAAGTTAAATCAAGACCAGATAAACTATTTAAATAATCCAATAACACCTAAGGAAATAGAATCAGTCATTAAAAGTCTCCCAACCAAAAAAAGCCCAGGACCAGATGGTTTCAGCACAGAACTCTACTAGATCTTCAAAGAAGAGTTAATACCAATACTCTTTAAATTGTTCCACACAATGGAAACAGAAGGAACATTACCAAACTCCTTCTATGAGGCTACAATTACCCTGATTCCCAAGCCAAACAAAGATGCAACAGAGAAAGAGAACTACAGACCTATCTCCCTCATGAACATTGATGCAAAAATACTCAATAAAATACTGGCAAACAGACTCCGAGAACACATAAAAACAATTATCCACCATGATCAAGTAGGCTTCATCCCAGAGATGCAAGGGTGGTTCAACATATGAAAGTCTGTCAATGTAATACACCATATAAACAAACTGAAAGAAAAAAAAACATATGATCATCTCACTAGATGCTGAAAAAAGTATTTGACAAATCCAACACCCCTTCATGATAAAAAGGTATTAGAGCGATCAGGAATACAGGGAACATACATAAATATAAAGGCAATTTACAGCAAGCCAACAGCCAATATCAAATTAAATGGAGAGAAACTCAAAGTGATTCCACTAAAATCAGGAACGAGGCAAGGCTGTCCACTCTCCCCATACTTATTCAATATAGTACTTGAAGTTCTAGCCATAGCAATAAGACAACATAAGGAGATCAAGGGGATACGAATTGGAAAGGAAGAAGTCAAGCTTTCTCTATTGCAGATGACATGATAGTATACATAAGTGACCCCAAAAATTCGACCAAGGAACTCACACAGCTTATAAACACCTTCAGCAATGTAGCAGGATACAAGATTAACTCAGAAAAATTAGTATCCCTCCTATATACAATTGAAAAACAGGCTGAGAAGTAAATCAGAGATATATCACCCTTTACAACAGCCACAAATGATATAAAATACCTTGGGGTAACTCTAACTAAGCAAGTGAAAGACTTGTATGACAAGAACTTAAGTCCCTGAAAAAAGAAATTGAAGAAGATGTCAGAAAATGGAAAGCATGGATCCCCCATGCTCATGGACAGGCAGGATTAACATAGTAAAAATAGCAATCTTACCAAAAGCAATCTACAGATTCAATGCAATCCCCATCAAAATACCAACACAATTCTTCACAGACCTGGAAAGAGTAATACTCAACTTCATATGGAAAAACAAAAAACCCAAGATAGCCAAAAGAATCCTGTACAATAAAACAACTTCTGGAGG